AACGCAACAATATACAGTCTGTGTAGTCCGCCATCAGAGACACAGATCTCCGTTGAATAATGAACAGAATGTCATGCTTACTTCAGCAGTATGCACAACGAGCTTTGTATTATCACATATGGTTCAATGTTCACTTTGTATAATTAAAGTACACTTTCAGGCATGTTGATTCTTCAACACGGCGGTGAAAATCCTGCCAAATTTGTCAATTACCTGTTTTTTCCATGTTTTATTTGTTTTACGTATTAGACGCAACATGCATCTGTGAAATAGATTAGAGTAATTCAATATCACGGCAAATGTGGGTGACTTGGATTATATATGCAATGTACAATTTAAGGCACAAGCAGATTCATAGGAATCCAGGTACATATTGTACACTGCAAGTAGTTTAATTGGGTTTAAAAATGGTTGCCAAGTATGATACATATGTCATGTCTGGAAAGCAATTGCTTTCTAAATATTGCTACACGTCGAGCAGTACAGCTTATCAACTCGAACAAATTATTGCAAGAATGTATGTGTAAGAAACTCTGTTATTTTCAAGTAATCTCTAAATGTATTTTCTCACATTTGAGATAAAGTATTTTTAACTACCCTATTTCCCAGTAATGGAAACAGTTATGGATGACGTTGTAATTAGTGGTATTGGATGCAGGCTTCCAGAATCCGATAATTTGGAGGAATTCTGGCAACATCTCATCAACAAAGATGACATGGTAACAGAAGATAACAGAAGATGGGAACCAGATATTTTATTTATATTCTTTCTATTGTAAATTTACTTTTGATATAGCCAAGAATCAGACCCTTTTCTGGTTAAAAGTTTCTAGAAAAATGATGCGGTACTTTGTGAACTGTTTTATTATTTTGGCAGACTGTCATGTTATCTGAGGACGTGCGTGTGAACTGATCATAAAATGTCCATTGCAATGTTACAAGGAACATTGTTAGCAGTGAATGTTATGACTTTCCTTTCAACGGCTTGAATTCAAAAAAAATATTATTTTCATATTTCCTCGATGTAAACGGTTTTCATTACATTCTAGTTAAGCGTTGTCTAAAATCTCTTGGCTTAGATCACTTATGGGTCAGTCTACCGACCAGACCTTTATTACAATGGTGAATGGAAAGTTGCTCTCCACAGAGAAACACTGCCCATGATGTCAAGAGCACATCTGCAACATGACAAAGTCTAATTCATAGTTATAATTTTATGATGGGCTAGACCATTCAAATAACATCTCATGATATTCAGTTATAATTATAGTCATCATTGAATTTTTAATTTAGGTAACGTGGGTAAACACGTTGGGAAGTAAAACACACATATCGAATATCCCACAGTAAACGATTATTTTTGTCGTTTTTACCACCCAGCACCATTGTTGTATTGTACTATGTAGGAGCGTCAGCATATTATAATTCTTTGGAAACAATGATCAGTTTATTTCGGGCTTTGCTGTAAATAATATGAAGTATAAATGAGGTGATGAGTGATGATTTATGTGTCACATATCAGGTCTCCACGGCTTACCAAGGAAAAGTGGCAAAATTAAAGATCTAAGTAGATTCGATGCTTCTTTTTTTGGTGTTCATCCAAAACAAGCAAACACCATGGACCCGCAGCTAAGAATACTCATGGAGTTAACTTACGAAGCAATAGTAGATGCAGGTATGTTTACTGCCCTCACAGACACTCAACAATAATTCATTTGTCTTTTGGATATAATACACGTGATTCCTAATGACAAAC